AGACCCTATTCTTCTAGTAACTTTACTCTTGATCTAGTGCTACACTCTTCGCGTGATAGTTATTAGCATAGCATAAACATGGGGCAATCATAGGGTCCTATCTAAAGCGAGTAGCATTTTGCATTATCTCAGGCACTGCGTCTAGTGTCAAGGTGTCTATGGACAAATTCGAAAGAATCCATGCCCTCAATTGACACTGCATGTTCTACAAATTCCTGATAAAGAATATGAAAAGTAAAAAAAAACGGAAGTGCCCTAAAAGCGGCTTAAAATAGTCTTCTCGATAGAGAAACTGGCAAGGTGTGATAGAAAAGAAGAAGGATTACCGTTAACTTGGTAACGTTCAGGAGGCAGATTGAAAGGAATTGGAAAAGACGGCAGGCAACTTTCAGATGGGCTATTATGCGGTACGATGCCTGGCTGAAGAGTCTCGAAGTATGCGGCTCCTGACTAAATACATATTAATGAGTAAAAAGTAAAGCAAGAAAAAAATGCACAAATGAAGGGGATAATTTAGTAGGGACAATTTCTTAATGCGACATTCTTATTGAGTACCTTGACAAAAGCCATTCTCAGATTGTGATAAGGACTAGTCATCCCATTTGAAGAAAGAACTTGGAACAACGAAAAAGATATCCATCTCAAAAACAAACAGCCTATAATTAAATAAGCATGATAAATCAAATTGCCACTTCTGGATTAAGTCTAGAATGCAATCAAACCATTGAAAACAACGTGATCATAGCAGGATCGAGAGATCTGAGGAAGCTGACGCATAAGCAACAAGGGATCTCTTATACTCAGCTCTGTATCAACATGAAAATTTAAATAAACCCACTAATGCAGTGATTCCCCAACTGTGCGTCGCGGTGTCCCGGGGATCCGCGGCTTCTTTACAGGGGCGAGGCGAAATATTGTAAAAGCTATTTCTATCCTGGCCCCTTTATCCATTTCCTACCATCTTGTCTCGCCCTCGTCCTATCAAAACTTCTGACATGTTCATATTTCACAAGAGATGTGCCCTTTAGGCGAATTTACCATGGCGTCATTACACCTACTTTTTACCTTGCTCCCCTCCCTTTCGAGTGGCTGACCTGACTCGGGCCTCCTGTCCGGACCTGCCTCATGTGCCGGTAGATCCATTTCTTATCTTTCTGGCTGACCAATTTCACTCGGTTCCAGCTACAGTATACCTTTTACTGTGGAAATATATCTCTGGTCGCTTGCTGCATATTGAGTGGATTATTGATCAATTTTGATAGTAATAACCAATTCATGTGACCCAAATCCACCTCGCTAGTCACGTGAAACGTTGGGCCCCCAAGTTATAGTTGTTTATTCGAGTTGACTACTCTCACAGAAAACTTCCTCTTCATTTTCGAAACTTTCTCACTCTTTTCTTGATTGAGATCTATTTTCCTCTGATTCACGATAGTTTCTTGATCCAATCGTCTCTTTTTTGCTTTTTTTTCTGCGTCACAGATATGAAGAAAAACTGGGTTTTATATATACACTTAGGATATTTTTGCTCTATTTCGCAAAGTATGGAATCCTGCACTGATGATGTCTGTCAAAATACAGACGGAAGCTTAGCACAGTTTCATCGGAGTCGTAGGACGGTGAGCCATCTTCCTTACGCGACAATCTTCCTTCGGTTTCCGGTGCGACCCCATCACTAATTCCTTGCAAGCAACTTTCCCTTCGAAATGGTGAGTAATGCCATGTTACTGTATTCTCCGAATTTGACAAGGCATTAGGCAAAGTTATCACTAACTTTACCTTCTTTAATCTCCCGTTCATTACATTAACCTCCCCCAAGGATGTTAATTGCCTCCCTAATCTTCCGTTTCTTTGTGCTTTATCTGTATGAGGCCGTTATTTGTTGTTTCCCAATAGATCGCGTGTCCAGTCTCTGCGATGTGTCACGCTACATCTGATCTTTCAGTATCCATTTTCCTGCAGAGTCTTTGATGTTCTTTTATTCGTATTCTTATTTTTCTAGCAGATTAGTCACTATATTTCTGTTAGTAAATGCCGCATGCTATTTAGCAACCCAATTTGTCTACCTCTCATGTTGCGTGGGTAGACTTTTAAGAATGATGTTTTTCCTTCGCGGCCATCTGAATATGTCGTTTTCTTAATATTGTTTGTAATTTTTAAGCTAGTTCGCAGGAAGGGAGAAATATCTACTTTTGGGAGTCTTTCTGAATCTTTATCTTTCGTTCATAATCCCCGTCCTGCTATTCACGGCCAGCATATTTGTTTGTATTACTTCTCCCGGATATTCGTTACCGAGGGATATCCAAGTCAAATATTACCATTCTTCATCCCAGAATTCCACGTCCGTTAATGGTAGACTTGTGATGATCATGCTCCTCAGAATTACTATCTTCATTGCGTAGTTGTGATGGGACTGGAAATTGACTTTTTCCGGCACATTAATTGTTTCGGAACCATTTAATCTTGAGTGTCACAGTAGAGCAAATGACCGCTACATCTAGAAAAGCCAAATTCGCCTCTTGCTCTAAATCCATTGTGAACTTGAGTCTTTCATAAATGCAGTTCATAAATTTTGAAAATTCCTCCAAATTTTCTCTTCCATGTGACAATGCTGCATAATAGTCATCCAGGTACCGCATAAGAACTCTTGGTTGCAGCGGTGACGTCTTGAAATTTTCTTATTTGTTCATGTATACATTTGCATATATAGGTGAGAGCGGTGATCCCATAGGAAGTTCAAATTTCTGTTCATAGATGTTGCGGTTGAATGTGGAGTAGATAGTACTTATTGCCAAGTTGATTAGTAGTGTTAACGACTCCCTTATGATACTGTATCCTTCTAGGATATCCCCCTTTCGATGCAAAATTTCTACCAATAAAGTTAGCGCCTTTTTTTCATGAAATATTTGTGTACATAAAGTGTACATTAAAAATTTAGTAGTAATTCTGCTTATTCAAGTATGATGTCTCCGATTCTCTGAAAACATTTATGAATGCAACACTGTGTTTGATAATCCGTTATTTACCTCATTTAATTTCCGACATTAACTTTGCTAATTTGTGTGTCGCATCATACTTGCTGATAAAAATCGGCCTCACTGATTCTACTTCATTGTGTAACTTCGGTAAATCGAGGCTGGTGATAGTCGTGCATGCTTTTTTATTTGTGAATTCATTGTCCATCCATTGATCTCCCAGTTTCTATGCCTATCTTTCAGCATATCTAGTAAAGTTCTATTGAGCTTATAGTCATGTCATTCTTTAGTATACGATGTGTAGTTTTGTCTTGCAGTATACATTCTATTTGTCAGTATATGGTTTTCTGTCCATTACAACTATCGACCATTATTTTCCGACAGAAGGACCAATTGCTCATTCCTTTCCAGGATTCTGTGTATCCTTACAAATCTGTTCATGTGCCAAGATTCTAGGTAGTATTTCTATCTATATTTCCCGTTTTGTATCCTCATGGAACTTGTTGGAGATATTAATGGCCTCCACCAAAATTACTAAAAGATTTATGTCATTTTGAAGATAAAAGTTTGGTCATTTCTTCAGGATTATACAGGTTTCAGGAGCAAGAGGAAGTGAGGACAAATTTACCGGCTTGTTTCATTTGTCGTACTGATCAATAGGTATTGTAGCCTTGGAAGCCCTTTCAACTGGATGCACTGGCTTTAACCTACGTTGACTTATAATTACATATCTAAAAAATTTATTGTAGTGTGTTTTTGTTATTAAATCAGAAATCCTACGTGATTTTTTTTCAGACATACTCTTAAGCTTGTGAAAATCCCCCGAAATAAGAATCCTTGCTAGATAGCGCTGAGGCTCTGACTAAATATCTATATTGTTAGGGGGAATTTCATTTCGTATGAGAGTGAATGAAGAAGAGATTCGTTGGTCGATTTCACCAGATGAGGATGGATGAATCTCGTTGTACTGGAGCCGTTTTGCTTTTATACGATATTTATGCCGACGCAGTCCACGAGACTTCCTCCCTCGTTTTGGGTGAAAACGTGCTGAGCTTTCGCTCATCATATGATGGACATCATAAGAGCTGGATGTCATTCTTGTAAAAGTCTAGGGCAAGAACACTATCCGGCTCTTTATTACTTATTATATAGACTCAATTGAGCCAAAAGAAAATAAAAAATCTAGATATATCGATATAGTGGTCTGATTAATGATCTTTCATACTAGTCCTGTTACTTTTGCTCGAGTGTATGTGTATGTGTATTTGTGCAATACGGCTACTAAATCAGAGTTGTCAAAGGTTTAATCTCAGATTCTGATCCTCAAGGCCTGACACAAAAGAAAGCCTTGACCGAGACTAGATAAGTTCGTAAACAAGTATGGTTGAGATAATTGGATATAAGTTTGTAAGCATGAAAAACAAGTTACGAAACCACTTTTCCTAACCTTTGAGCCTACATTCATTAACCTTTAACCCCTCAAGTAAAGACAAGACTGGGGTTGCGTAATCTGACATGTCTGGTTTGGTTGATGAGCTTACTCTAACATGCTGGACGAATGTGAGGAAAATTAGAACCATCACCGAGCAGACAAATCAATCAAGCATAAGTAGTTCATACTTAATTTTCTGCCACCGTTCCTCATATTAAACGTATTTCCTAAACTATTAATTTGAATAGCCTCTCTTATCCCTCTTTTAAACGCAGATGTAGCATAATCAGCAAACCTAATAGTTTAAGACCATTCTATTTCATGTCAAATTTATACCATATGTTCTGCAACTTCTGACCTTTGGATCCAGCTTCCTTTGCAAGCATTTTTGTGTTCTACCAATCTTTGTCGAATAGATCGGCATGTCTCACCAACATAACATCGACCAAATTAAGAAGCATGTGCATACATTCAAGAAAGGCTGCCTATTTCTAGCAATATTACTTTAACATTTCTTAAAAATGTGTAAAATTAATTGATCGGCAGGTAATTTAAGATATGTTAGTTAGTTTCGATGATGTATCTGGGAGCATAAATATTACTATTCAGGGAGTAATTCAGAATAAAGTGCACATCCATGAGTAGCATTTATTTTACCCTTCACAAACACAAGAACTTGCAAATAGATTTTGCTTCGCTCCGATTTTGGAAAACAACTAGATGGCTAAATTAAGGAAACATTTAATGGAAGAGGCAATAGTAAGCTATAAATAGTTTGTTAAATATATGGATGACTATTTTGCTATGTGGTAGCGTGGCAAAAAATAAGTTAGTTTCCTATTTTTACTTAACCACCGTGTAGGATAAGTACCTTTTTGAATATTCTGGTTATTAAGAAAAATAGAAAGCTACATACAATGTTTATAGGAAACAAAAATACGTTGGCGCTTTTCTAAACTTTTTATCAAATCATCGTTACAAAGCTAAGGCTTGAATATTGAAATTGAGCTAGCTGAAAAAACCATTTAAATGAAGATTTGGATTGCTTAAAACATTTATTACTCGAAAATAATTGTACTTTGGGCTTACTTGATAATATCTTTTGAGGAATAAATTTTAAGACGAAGTTAAGGATAAGTAACTGAGAGTGTATTTGTCCTTATTTTAGCGTCATGCTTACATTTTAATAAGACAAATTAACTAGAAATAAAGTTTACAAAAAAGACATCACTATTTCTTTGGTCAAGCCTTCTTTAAGAAAGAAATATGACCAATTGTCAGGATTCGTCAGTTACAGGATTATTTGCCCCTGAGGTCGAACCTACGTTAATGAGAACTGTCGGTCAATTCGCAAAATATTAGTGAAACACAAAAATGATTGTAAAAGCAGATAGGTCCGCAATTCCCAAGTGCCCAAAAGCAGAGGAGGATAGAATAGGTTAATGCAAAGGTTTACTGATTATGACATGTCTGCAGAAAGAAGGAAGATAAGAGGCTACTGAAATTAACATATTAAGGAATACTTAAATGTGAGGAATGGTGGAAGAAATTTGAGTATGAAATATCTATGAATAATTGAAAAATTAAAGTAGGGAAAGGGTTTTGAGCCGCTATTCAAAAGAAGGCGACTCAACCTGCCATCACTTTGACGTACGAGAGTACGCAATCCCAGCCATGGATTTAGTCGTTAAACTCATTTGGGCATAAACTGATTGTTTTGTAACCGCGTATAAGCT